GGATCGATAATTTGCCCGGTGCAACATACAACAGCAACCTCATCTCTGCTTTCAATTCTATAATTTCCTGAAGAATTTTGTGAGTAGGATTGTTCTGACACTTCGTATCCATCTTGTTCAAGATTCTCTACGCTATTTTCATCACTTTCCCATTTTCAATGGTGGAGTTAACACTTTTTTGAGCTCTGATGTTAATGTAGCCCAGTTTTATTTTCATGTTCTCATGAGTATTTTTGATTCGTTGATTCTCGCGATTAACATATAAAGTAGGTCATTTGCTTCTGCTATTGTGACCTGGATTTTTGACTCTTCCTCTGCTCAATTTCCGTCCGTATATCCTTTTTATCCGACTTATTTTCGCAGTTTTTGTACTCTTGCATCTCATTGTACAATTTTTAGAGATTGTCCCTTGCCTACTTTATTTGGTTAATGCTGCTTTGCAAAAGTGCTATGGTAGAACGACATTTTTTGTAGTTTTCGTCGTATATGGCAGTATACTCTGATGTTTTGGTGTACTCACTATATCGGGTAACCAAGGTCCTCAGAGAGGTTGCGCTAAGCGCAATTGGTGCGAAATGAAAATGGAGTGCCACTATATATTTGTGGCCTTTGGTACGAAAAATTCGTAGGTCTGCCTTTGCAAAAGAGCAGTGATCAGCTGGGGCACTCTCAAACAGGGATGTGCGTTCCAGCTACTTTGGTGGGGGAACGGTTTGTTAGAATCTATGCGATTCACGGCGTAAGGTGCGGTATAGAAGTGCTCAGTGAGCTAGTCATTCTCCAGGGGCCAAGGAATCAACCAGTGACGCGGGAGTATTAGGCTTATTAGGCCGATGCACCAAGCTGTGAGCGGGTGTTGAGACTCTTGGGCGAGGGGTGGGCCCGTATAAGGAACAACGAGAAATGTGATATACAAGAGATTGGTGGTTCAGTGTTTATTACGATTGCTGTACCGAGGACAACGAGTATAACCTTAGCTGGTCCAAGCGTGTAGAAGAGTGAGTGAGGGACC